AGATATCCAATACCTCCATCGGACATGATGCGCAGTCCCGCAAGCAACATTCACAGCGGAATGCATTGCTCACCTAATCTGATCCCACTGCTAACCGCGTTGAGGGGCGCCTAGCTCACGCACTAGCTCTGACTCATAGCGTGCACGAACTGCTGGAACAGATAGGCGATGGTGACCAATCCGAGTTTGCGGGTTTTCTCGTGGACCAGTCAATCGAAGAGGAATGGCATCAAAACTAATGCGTTCAGTTTTCAGTTTGAACAACCATTAACCATGCACTTTCGTGCGCCGGTTTTGGTTGCTGTCTCTTGGCTACCNAAGAATAGGAGAAGAAAGGAAAGTTGAAAGTGGATTCGAAAAGAAAATGGAGAAGTGCAGTGGTCTAAGGTTGAAAAGAAATTGAGGAGATGCATGAACGTCACTGTTTACGACACCCAGCCATATCGCTCAGTGTCTCTAACCATCGGTTACGATCATCATCATCATCATCTTAGGCACCCATTTAGAAACTAATGCGTACTCGGACTAAACGCAAGTGGTCCAATAGAACCTGCGATTTCTCACTGAGCCACGCCGACGGTAGCATACTGCTATGTGGTCGATTTGAGTAGGCGTACCAGGTGAACTTGAGCGCCACGTCGTCCGTCGAGAGCTGTGTCGGAATTTGGTACTGGATGGGAACCGATGATAGTCTGCGCAGAGCTGAAGAAGTTGATCGCCGTTATCTGTTCTTTGGCAGGGCAGAGCAGAACTACCACCTAGACAAGCTTCTGATGCCCTCAGTTTTCCAACTTGCGCTTTGAAGTCACCTGCCAGTACATCTATGTCAGATCTTCGACTCATCCGAATGAAAGGTGAGTTCATTTTAAAGAGCGTCCTTTTTCAGTAGTAGCTTTATGCACCCGGATGGGTGAGTTTTCAGTGTCAGAACCGCAATTAGTCGGTGCATATGCTGATATGATGAACAAGCACCTTTTGGTGTTGCTTCCCTTCCTGACGCTGATTGAACCCTGGAGACGCACTGCACACAAACGACTGTTGACGGGGATCCAATAGACAAGAGAGAACTTCGCCTTGTTGCTGACTACAATACCTACTCCGCGCTGACCCACTGAGCGGGCTTCGTCGTTGCCTTATAATGCAAAGAACATATCTGGAAGACAAATCTGGTACGCGCCACTGGCTTATAGTAGTAGGATCCTGGATACGAGTCTTCGACATGCAGCAAATATTGATCGCCCAAGGATTCTATTGTACGCGCCACTCAAGCTTGTTGACCTACTTGCATTAGGGTCCTCACGTTGAAGGCCCGCAGATTCAGTGATTGACGAGGCTTTAGAATCTGCAGTTCGTTTCGATACATTACGTACAGTTGTATTTGGCAACGACCTTAGGTGGGTGACATCCAAGTTGCTTGAGAAACTATTACAGGTCGGAATAAGGGGAAAATGGAGAGTACTGGGTACGAAAGACAAAGAATTAAACAAGGCTTCGGATGTCTGAGCAGTAGCCCACTTATCCCTACCCACCCCGCTCGATGCAATAGGCAGCGGGATCCTGATTATCTTTCGCGACAACCGATGCGGTACGGCATTATTTTTAGTTTGTGTATGCATTGGGTTTGATGGACGGGTGTTGCTAGGATGTCCAGCCGCTAAGCAGGAGAACGATTAGGGTTCTCGTCCAAAGCCTTTGGTTCTGACAAGAACCTAACCGCAAGGTAACGGGTGAAGCGATGTGGAGGCCCATTTACTCGAATCGATCATTCCTCCGCCATTTTGACTGATTGAGAGGCAAAGTCCAGTCGAACCCCCAACCTGGAGACTGGACTTTGTCTGATCTCTACCCTTCGACCTTCCAGGCATGAATAAATCTCCTGGCTTGACAAAAGCCATCCTGTGTAACTCCTTGGGTCAAGGAGATGCACAAGCCATCACACCAGGTCAAGGTGCAGTCTCGTCGGTGTGGTCTGTTCCACAGGCGAAGGTTGAAATTAAGAATACATCCGATCTTTCTCACTGTAGATTGCAATAAGTGTACCAACGAATCAAGAGCTGCTGCGACGTGCTTATGCATCTATCTGAACTGTCTTTTATATCGGCTATTTCGATTCGCCAGCTTTGTACTGCATCCTGTCTGTGTCGCATCCTCCGAAAATGCAAACCGAAGCTAGTTTCACTGGAATTCTCTCCGTATTTTGACGGCTTTGATGGCATTTTCTTTCAATCAAAGACGGCAGTTCCACTGCCGCATGCTCAATCGTACTTTCCTATATGTTTACATGAATAATGCTCCTCTGGTTTAATTAACCTATGTTTCTCGATAAAC